CATACGTAAATTTCACTAGGGGGACAATTTACTGCCAAGTTTGGTGAGTTTTTGAACATGCTAAAGCCTCCAAAATGCTGTTTCTTTTACGCGGAGAAAAATAATAATAACAAACGATACAGGAACAATAGGCTCTCGCAGCGGTGAGCTGCTCGGGCCTAATAATAAACGGTACAGGAACAATAGGCTCTCGCAGCGGTGAGCTGCTCGGGCCTAATAAAAAGTTTCAAAAGGGCATTTTCATTGATAAAGGGCAAACTTCCTAGTGCTTTAGCACCACCTACTGTCTATGTATGCACGCCCCTGCTTATAGTTAGAGTGGCTCAGGTTATCCTGATCTATCACTATAGTTATGCTGCTATAGGCTTAGACTGCTGGAGGACATAGGAATCCCTTTTTTTCCCCATTCTACTTCATTTTATTTCTATTCTCCCACTCTGCAGATTTTGTTCAGCTGGTCTGTTCCTGTTTGGCTGTAACACCATCCAGGGGGGAAATATCAACTGTACTGCCACCATCAATACCTTTGTTTATAGATGTAGGAGCTGGGCCAGTTTTTTAGTGTAGTCCTGTTCCTCCGACATTGGAGCAGGCTTGGAGCTTGTCTGCCTGGCTGTGTGTTTCCTGCACGGGGTCGCCTTTGAAGCTGGTTGACAGTTGCCTCTTGTATCTCTGCTTCTTTCTGTATATCTGCTATAACCCCAGTCGGCCTCACGCTGAGCCTGGTTCTGCTGGAGGTTTCTTCCAGTTAAAAGGGAGTTTTTCCTCTCCCCTGTCACTACAAGCATGCTTAGTGTGAGGGATTGCCTTCGAGTCAATGAGTTGATGGTTTTCCTTTGATGGAAAACTTTTAATAATGTTGACTGTATGACCTGGTTGAATTGTCTCTGTAAAGACCCTTAAGATGACATGTGTTGTGAATTGGTGCTATATAAATAGACTGAATTTACATTGAAATTTTTAAAGGGTTTATATGCAGGGGATTTGCTGTTGATCTTAAAAGACAGGAGGAGGGTGCAAATATTTTAAGTGAGTCAATACTTCAATTACTCTATTGATAGAGGAGAAAATGCGTTGTGATGCTAGATGTGACTGTTTCTGAAGTAAACACTTCGATCCAGGAAGCGATAAGAATCTATGAGAGTGGCTAATTTGATCATTTTAGAACAAGATGACATTGAACCAAAGCATTTGTGATGGCAAGTGACAGAGGCCACACCTCACCTCCCTTTCTTTAGTCACTTCATCAAAATATTTTACCTAATATTCCAATTCATTGTTTTGCTCTTTCATAATCTAACTTCACAAAAAAAGAAAACTTTCACAAGATATTACACAACACCGTATATGACCTTTTTTGAACCCTCTAGGGACTTCAGTTCAAAACTGAGTTTAAAAAGTGTGACTGCCTTTATTTATTCAAAGCAGCAGCACCGAAGATAGTAGTTCATTTATCCTCATTTCTTTGCGCAAACCAACCTTTCACCATGTGGCAGGAAGCTGTCACAAAGGAAGTTAAACAAGGAAACTAATGATTCATCTTAAATTATCTGTGAAGCACTGAATATAAAGACAGTTTCATAGATGGCGCTTCTTTACCAAGATAATGCAGCTTCATACTGCATTGCAATTTCTTAAGAAGTTCTAGGGTTAAACCTTTTTAGACCTGGTTTTCCACTCAGTTGACAACATAAGTTATTTTGAAACTAACAGCTTTGAAAACATTTTGGAGAAGTAAGAGAAGAGGAAGTGTGTAGGTGGGGCTCTCAGTATTGATGGTATCACATGAGGCAGAACTTAACCTTTCTTCAGTTTTAAAATATACGGAAGTAATTTCAAGAGTTCTAAAAAGTAACTCATTAAAAATATCACTGTTATTAGGGTTAAACAACCAGGCAATGATCCATCTTTGAACTTTTTTTTTCAATATAAAGCTATATTGGTAAATAAGATGTACACTACATTTATGGTGCTTAAACCCTACAAAGCAGTTTGATATATATTATACATAATAAACTAAGTTATCGTTGTTTTAGAGTCTGGGTAATCAGAAGTTACCAGTTAAGGTAACTGCAAGCCTAAAGCTCCAAACAACTTAATTTACCCCACAAACACTAATTCACACCCTCCTGAGGAAGATTTCTGATGAAACCAAGTGTGTTTACTTTTATACCTTAGGTTAGTATTAGTGTCTAGTTGATGTTAACAGTTTTTAATAGATGTTTTATTAGAAAGACAATTTTGTGACAAGTGGTGACATGAGTGTGACACATTTCAAAGAATTACAAAAATAGTCCTGATAAAAGGAAGTTTAAAATGTTAAATGTGTGAAACGCAAAGGGACGGTTTTCGTCTGGGGAAGTCGTTGCTATGCATATGTAATATAAAGGAAGTTGAACAGGGAAACTTCGTTCTTCCTATAAGCGATCGGTTATACGGCACAGAAATGAGATTCTTTATCTTCTTTTTTCTGACATTTCAAGGTAGGTAGGCTTAACAGGTTTTTTAAAATGTCATTTCTCAAATATATGTCAAAGAAATATTTAATAATGATTCAGAATAAAAAGGTTAGACATACGGAAGTTGAATTGTGAAGCTAACCTTAAATCTCGTGATGTCTGGGCTTACTTGCTTTGATATTTTCATAAGTGTAGTATGACTGCCTATTTGAAATAGAGGAAATAATTTGCCGATTAAAAAAGAGAAAAAATGTTCATATAATATGATTTATCTCTTGTTTTCCATGTTAGTCGTATCTTAAAATCATGTGTCAGTGTTTAACTCTCTTTCAACCATGATACTGGTCTTCATTTTCTCTGTGGGTGAAAAAGTGTTTTTTTTTTTTTTGTTGTTGTTGTTTTTAACTTCAATGCTGGTCCAAATCATTATTGATAAATGCTAAGATTTTTGGAATTGAAAAAATGCTCTCATAATGTTTTGTTCTTTTAAATATTTTTTTGATTAAGGTCATTTGTCACTAAACATCCGATTTAACAATCACATTCAAAACCCATTAAAAAGTGGAAGGGGAAATAATACACAATTTGGGAGTCATTTAGACAAACAAAAAATCTGAAAAGTGTGGCATACCTTTTTATTCGCCCTTTCAACATCAATACCTCGTGGAATTGCCTTTTGATGTGATCACATCTTAAGGAGTCTGTTTCCATAGGCCTTACACAAATAAAACATTACATTTTTGCCTGTTTTTTGATGTAAAATAACTTGAGCTCAGGTAGAATGGCTGAAAGGTGCATTAGTTAGTGGCTGCAACATATTTGAAGAGAATCAAGACATTTTTTTCTCAACCCACAGCAAATGGCATCATTTGCAAAGCCGGTTCTCAAGGGCCCCTGTCCTCGAGGTTTTAGAGGTTTCCCTGCTTTAGCACAGCTGATTCTGATGATTGTAGAACAGCAAAAGCCTGCTAACAGCTACCAATGAAAATCACTTGTGCTTATGGGTAAAACAGTAGTTTCCCAGCCAAAACTGGACACTTGACAGCTGAGACCTACCAGTATAGATTTATGGTTTATAATGGCTCGGCAGTCAAAGGTGCAGTCTTAGAGATTTGCCAGTGGTCAAGTAGCCCTATTCCATTTAGTGTTTAGCAATCAGTTGCTACAGACATTATATTACCTATTTTTTGTAAGATCGTATTCATAAATCAATCCAGGCTGTTTTGGAGAAGCTGGGCTTCTTCCATTACCAATGCTGGTTATAGATAATTGATAATAGAGCCTGTTTCAGTGCTTAGTTTCAAAACCCAGTTTTCAAAGTCTTCTCAACAATCTGCCAATTACAGCTTTTCCCTTTTTTGCTTTTTTTTTGCAAATCAATGTAGACGTTTGGAAGTAAATCATGTCCTTGTTTTAATGTCTTTTCAACCAATTTTTGCCCAGTGGGTCCCCCCAGAACACCAGGTGCCATTTAGATGTTGGTTTTTATGCGAAACCTGGTTGATCAGTCATAGTGTTGATTTAGTCCAGAAATTGGTGTTGAAAGTTGGGCTGTATTGGGTCGGTCGGAATTATGTCGGTCTACACATCTTTTTTAGACCTC